ACACACAAAAATACAAAAAACATCTTTCTTGACACGCTGTTTTCTCGAAACATGTGTGTAATTTATACAGCACAACTTCTATCACCTCCCCAAAAGCGCCTACACTTCACCGATTAAAATTCATTCCGCGGTTTTCGCTACACGACCCCGAGTCCGAATGGCGGCTGCAAGACAGCGCGCGGCACTCTGCCACTTGGCTCCACGCCGTGTCGCCCTTACTACACTGTCACTGCACGGTGTGCGGTTGGAGCCTGGTTATCTCATGAAACGTGATGTTACACAAGCGCCCGATCCGTTATGCCTACTAAATCAAAAAGAAACGGTCCGCTCCGTAACTAACATGTGCATAACCGCTTCTGTCGCCATCAGGCGGGCGGCTGGCACGACTCGCGCTGTTATACTGCCGCGTGCTACGTCGGTATATCGCTCCTATCCGACACGCGGGAGAGATATCACTTCCGATCTAGAGTGGCACCGACGTCACTTTCCTTCGTGTTACCACACACGTACGAGCCGATTAGCGGGGCAATTTTGATACGATCTTCTCACTGGATCAAGCACCAATCAGTGACGTGTTAAATAGCGTGTGCGATATCGTAATTAGTGAAAAGCAGCGTACTATTGGTTTGATTCGTTATTTCAGACAGGGTACCGCGGTAACAGCGAAGATGATAGCATCGGCTATCAAAAGTATTTACCTATGTTTGAGTGGCTGTTAATTACTGAAAGCTCCGTTGGCCAGGTTATAAGCTGCAATATTTATCTCAGCATTTCGTGTGGTCCAATGGAAGCTGAACGAGACCACTCATAAATCTCATATCAAAAATAGTGTTGAGCAACGGATCACAATCTTTGCATAACCTAATAAACATTAACAAAGCGGGTTTTCGCTCGTGATTTACAGAGAACATCGACCGTGCTGCTACCAAAATGCTATCTTCCTTCAAATCAGAGTGGTAAAACGGACTCAATGCGGGCACGGCTAGGGGTGAAGTGAGCGAAGTAATACATCACATGCGATCGTCGGGGCTTTGAGCTGACAAGCAGGTGCGGCGCAGCGTCGTGTTTGGACGCTGCGCCACCACGAGAGCGCAAACACATTCCGAGCGTGCTACACCGGCGGAGAGCACACCCGGTGGTACACTGTTTGTGCGCTTTCGCATAGCGCCCCAGATAATCCGCGTGTTTACCTGAGGTCGGACCCGCCTCGCTCACAAAAACAGCACGCTGTATATTCCAGAGGCGTCCAGCAATGATCGTCCAAAAATCCACTTGTGCACCAAGACAGGCGCAAATGCTCAAATCGCATGCAATCTGAGTGCCAAAACAGAACTCTTCTATTTGTAGCATTATTATTGGTCCACATTGCATTCACGGAATACGATTCAGACATTCTACAGGCTCATAAAATCAGCCAATTTATATTGAATGAATAAACTGGAAAATCGCTACTTGTTTTGCTAGAAGTCCTCAGCGGCCCTTTAAGTTATTCCAAGAACTGTTTATTCAGCGGCATCAACAGCAGCACGCTACAGTTGCATGACCAGACTGAAAATACAAAACGAGCAAGTGAAGTTGCAACTTCTTTCACTGCTCGAGGCCTGAGCGAGTATGTATCCGCCATCACGGTATATTTGGGAAGGCACGTGGCGTGATGGAACACGGTTTTCCTGATCCAATTATGCACGGATCTAATCAGAGCCATGACAGTGGGTTCCACATGGCTCACAATGACAGCGATTCAAGACCGTCGGGACACGTATGGTAGGTCCGTCAGTTCCGTGCCGCAGAACACCTGGCACTTCAGTAACTTCCGAATGGTCAACGCTGCGGGCTGGATCGAGACGGTTGACTCTGACTGTCTGTCAACGAAACACGGAAAGTTTTGGATACATGGAACGTTCTCCTAAAGACATTCCGTTGGAATGACAGTCGTAATCGCCACATCCTGACAGTAGACAGTCTGACACCAGAACCCGATACGTTCCGGTGTCGCTCAAGACCTCTGCGTGGGGCCTGTGGGCGGGGAATAGCGATTCTCTGATCACTTTTGGTCCAGAATATGTAGTTCACTCCACGGGCCTAATATTCGATTTGTTTAAATCGCGGATTCCCAGCTCCATCTGACTTTCCTATTAATTCTCAACCACGCATCCAGGCCGTGTCTGAGCCGTGACCAGTTCGTTGCAGCGCCCCCCCCCCCCCTCCCCCTTGGCTGTGACCCTGCGCCTCGTGCCAGCCTCTGCCACCCGGCGCTGCCCGACGGCACCGGCTGAAGCTACGCACCCCGCCCGGGGCCGTCGCGTGCGACGTGGGCGGCGCCGAGAGAGGTCAACTGTAGGCACGGGGCGGCCTTCCGGCGCCGAGCACGCCCCGGGGGTCACGGGCCACGGCCGCCGGCACGTGCATCAATAGCCTCCGTCGGGCTCCAATCAACATACCAGCGGCGGATAAAGCCACGGCACCTGGTGCCGGGTGCGCGGGCGGCGCGGCGCGGGCGGCGCGGCGGTGACGCGGCGCAAAGCTGGCGCGCCCGCCGCCACCCGGACCGCCAGCGTGAGATCGCAGCCCTCCGCGCCGGATGGTTGACCCGGCAGACCGCAAGGTCAGTCAGGCGGGACCAGCTGGGCTTGCATGCCGGGTCAGCATGCGGTCCGGGCTCTGGTGGAATGTCGGGTGCTCACGTCGGCGCAGGGAGGACGTGCCAGCGTGGGAGGGAAATACATTGTCTAGTACTATCATGCTGGAATGGGTTGGTTGCTTGTCCCAGGCTTTGTCAGAGCGCGTCATACTTGAGGTTACATGTCCCTAACTTATGAGTCTGAAGAGCTGGCCTCAACCATGCGTTACGTGTAAAAAAGTTAGCGGATGCTCCACGGTGGGAACATTTGAGAACGTCTTCCGGAGAACGACGTTGGAGCGTTGCGTAGTAGTGGGTACCACGCGAAACAGAGATAAGCCGTCCGTCGGCCATCGTTCACCATGGTGTTCTCAATGAAATTATTTTGGAACGCAGTTTTAGAAGCACAGGGCAAATGTGATGAGAGCTAGAGTGCACAACATCTGCCGGCAAACTGACAATTATTTTTCAGCTGATAAATGTGCTGTCACGAACGTGTTCGCGTGCCCAGTCATGGAGCACCAGTGGCTACAGAGGCCGTGTTGGCGCTCGGGGCCAATGGCGCAACAAGGATTGCCCCCTCCCCTCTACGTGGGAGCTAAAGGAGCCATCATTCGTTCATAACATCCCCAATTGACAAAATGTTCGTGGCAGCACTGATGGCTTTACAGTGTGGTAGTGTTTATGTCTATGATATCGCTTTATGGATTGAATTACGTTAAGTTGATTATTGACCTTGGAAATCCAGGGACGATAGGTTTGCACCCAACGGCATTCTTCTTTCCACACTTCAGATGTGCTGTTGAGTTGAGTTCAGTGACTCCACATGAAAACTTGCATCAGATAGCTGGCATAACGAGTTTCGGCTCCGACTTCTTTTAGTTTTAATAAGGCGCATCGGAGATAGAGTGCGCCAGGCAACTGAAGCGGCTGGCAAGATGATACATCAACAAAAGCACATTCACGCAACGCTTGCGTGACAATGCGTCATCAATGCGCTCAAGCTTGTCGTACAAGGCTTTGAAAATCATCCCACTCAAGGAATGAAAAGGAAACAAACAAAAAAAAGCGAATGTTTTAACGGCCACGTAAACAACTCGAAAATATTATGAACCCACCTCACTCCTTTCTTAAGGTGAGCATTATTCAGGACCAGAGTAACTATGACCTGCAATGATCTTTACCGTTCACCTTTATATAATCGTAATTTGGGTGAACTTACATATAGAGATTTCTTGTAGATAGACAACAAAACGTTTGTATCAAATGCGACTGAACTCGACTACACCAAGCCTAATCTAGTGGATCCACCGATCCATCCATCTGAAATATGATTATTTTTGGTGCGAGGAATGTTGTAAGCCCCCCGAGACTTCCTTACGGAATTTAAATTATGCTTCTATTTGACGTGGTATGGAAACCGGAAGGTCAAATTTGTAAATTTCCAGAGGGAAAAATAAATAAGGCAAATATCAGCAGTTACAATGCCCAGCACGTAACTAAGTTTTCATTTTGCCCAGACAATTGGTGTGGAAATCAAAGCGATAGGCCTGTAAAAAGTAACTGAGACTAAAAATGTGCAGCATCCCTCATCAGGTCAAAGGTTAGATCAGCATTACATAAGACAATCCTTACACACTTTAAAAATGCATGAGATGTGTACAACAATGGAATTTCTTCTGAGCAAGTTAGCTCTGTACAAGCTTACGGAGAATCCAAACTGTTTGATCGGAGAAAATGAGGGCACGAAATAATCTCTGGCCCCGACTCCAGAGGTCACCTAGGGCTACAAAACGTTGCGTGACAGTCTTTCACGGGCTGCTCTATCTGCACCAAATATCATCAAAGTGAAGGACAAACTCGATCGATCTGACGAAGTTTGATTTTACCCAAACATCAAATAAAGAACTATTACTGGTAATCACAGCATTCCATGCAAGTTATCTTGCACTTTATCATTTCAATCTGCATTTCTTATGCTGCGCGCACCGAGTGTTGTGCATGTGCTCTATATGTGTATCGACCTCCATCCTAAATCTTAAATCCGTAACTGAGAGATCGGCGCATTGTAGCTTACCGATGAATGATACAATTCGTTAAACGCATGCGTGGCTCGGAACAGTCGCTGCTTCAGTTCGGACGAGAAGTGTTGATGAATGCTTGTGTACACCAGAATTATTTTCCAACGTCGCTGTAACGTGCCTTTCATTTTTAGCATAGTTGTGAAATAAAATAAGCAGTTTCTTGATTGTCGTACTATTGACTTATTAATTACAAGCGGACTGGTTTTCCTGTTGCCGCGAGGTTTTTTCACCGAGTTAATGAAAGCCTGCGCTACTTTCACCAGGCAAGGCCACGCTCCTCATGTTCTAGGACTCACCTTCTACCTCCTGTCCAGAGGCGCAGAGAGCGAGCGCCAGTACAAGCGCTGACCTCAGTGCGGGCGTCATCCTGAGCAGCTTCGCGAGCTATCTCGCCGCCTGAAACAGTGGAACGTCTTCAACTGCAGATTGTGTATGGCGCTGGGGTCGATTGCTCAATGAAAATTACCGGGGTGCTCGGGTTCTGGAGAAACTTGTCGGAAAGCGCAGGAGCCGCAGGCAATGATTGGGAGAAAATGACCAAGAACAATCTCCGGTGACGAGATACGAAGCTTCTGGCAATCTTCAGCAGGTGCCTGATGTGAATTCACGAATGTGACTAATAAACATTGGTTCAGATAGAAATACAGCATGAGTATGCGTGTGTATGTGAGTTCAACATGTGTGCATTTCATTTAATCCATGTTTTTCTTCTCTCGCCGGAATATTCGGTTGCGTCATTTGCCACCATCCTTTTTACCCCAGAAGTTTTCATCTTTCCATGACAAACAGTTGCATGTGTAGTCGCCCCAAGTTAGCCGTGCATGCTTCGTAAACGCATCCGTATCATCTGAGAGAAATGATGCCATCTGTTGTATAGGTGACAACAGACACCTCCCCTCACTCAATTACGACACATTTAATCCATCCACCACATGTTAAATTTAGAAAGGAATCTAATCAGCTCGGCTCTAAAGATCCCGCAAATGAAGCGGTACCAAAATCCATCAGAAGCACTGTTCCATAAAATACGCATCTTAGGAAGCAAGATTCCGGCCACCAGACCATTGCAGGGCGCCGACTACTACATCTGCTAGCGTGGCTGTACTCATGTTGGAAGGTAGCCAAGTAGGCGGTTGGTGATAAGTGATTTCTTAAACACTTGCTCTCCATGGGAGAGTAAAACAAACATCAAACCTTAAAGGCAGATGGTCAACGGATCCGATTCCGCTGTCCCGGCATAACAAGCGTATCACTTTCTCCCGCCGATCCATATCTCCCCCCCGCGTACTCCTTCACGAATTGGCCGCTGTCGGGTGAAGAGGTCACGTGACTCGTGACCCGGGGAGCGCGCGGTCCTGCCCTGTTTATGGCGGGCGGGCGGCGGCGAACGCAAATCAAGACGCGGCTCCGGTTTCACCGCGCTCGCTGGCCGGCGGTGAGGACAGGTGTAGCTCCTGGTCCGGTCACCCCCGGTGAAACCCGGCGACAGATGGAAGCCATGGCGTGGGAGAGTAGCCAGCTGATTGTTTATGCGGGGCTGACTCACGCCCCTGTTGGAGTGCTGCCCGGCCGGGCGCGTTTGCATCTGCTGCTGGCTGTGCCAGTTTTCTGCGGGGGAAATTGGGTTG